AAAGGTTTGGGGCTCCAGCGGGTTAATCTCTTTGGGGCCACCAGAAAACTTATTTGACCTTCTGCAGAAGATCATCCTAATTGTGGCTAGACCTGAGAAAGGTGAGACTGCCCCATTGCAGTTTACAATTAATTGAGCAGGAAAGATCACACAGCCCAGGGATCCAGTGGCTTTCCTGCTTGCCACATAGCCTTGGCGTTTTGCAAATCGGCCTCAGGCTTCTGTCCTGTCCTGGTTGTGGACAAAATGAGGGGTTTCAGATCTGGTGGCCTTTTTCAGCAGGTGGTTTTGGATAAAATATCATTGGGCTCCTGCTACCAACCCTGGACGACATCTTTGCATCTCGCTGTTTGAGGAAGTTGCACAATGTTCTCAGAGACTCTGCCCATCCTGCTCATAATCTTTGTGAACTGCTGCCTTCTGGCAGAAGATACAGAACAATTTAAAACTTGGACCACATGAGTTTTCCGAACAGTTTTTATCCCAGAGCTATCATTGCACACTTAACAATGAACTTAAGGACCACCATCAGTGAGCTGTTGGACAGTATTGCTTGGTCTGTTGTGTGGACACTTGTGTTATGATCAAGGCTTCCTGAGACAATAATTAAGCCCATGCTTAGTCCAAACAACTGTTGTTTTATTTCAAGGCTGGGAATTATGTTCATTCCCAGCCAGTAATGAGTCCCAAACAGCCCCTCGAGATAAGCACCCACCTTTCTCTCCTTTGAATGGCTGCCAACAACTAAAGTGCCAAATTAACTGTAAAAAGCCAGACGAAGTACAAAGTCCACACAGACTTCAAGGTTTCAAACCGACCAGTACAAATGAAGTTGCTTCCTGCAAAGATTCCTGTCCCTTTGCTCCTCCTTTATGTCTTATGGGAGGGGCCGATCACTTCCCAGCCTTACTTCCAAGTCGCCCCTTTTGTCTTAATTGTTCTTGCCTTCTGACAGCTCTGTGCATACGCACACTGGAAACAGGCTCCCCTTGTTCCTCGGCCTTGCTGCTGCCAGACTCCAGAGGCTCCGGAGGCAGCACCGCACTCCCAGATGGATCCTGGCCCCATCTCTGCATCGGACACAGGACCCTCGTCCGAGTCCGCTCCAGATTCCCAGACTGGTCCCTGTTCTTCCCCACTGTCCGATTCCGCTGCCGTCTGCACCTGCTGCTGGCGAACCACAACACCTTGTGTGTTTTTAGGGGGCAGGGAATTTTGGCATGTGTGTGTGTGTATTTGGGGATTGTCATGTGTGTGTGTATGTGTGTGTCTGTGTGTCTGTGTACCTGTTGGGTCTGGTCTCCGGGTGTTATGTGAATTTTGTTGTATGGGGAGACTGTGCACATATGTACAGTGACAATAAAGAATTCAATATCATCCAAACTGGAGTTCAAGCGGTCCTGAGCGCCTGGAGAAGGAAATGGAGCTCCCAATTTTCTCCCTGCGGCTGTCGGAGGGATTTCCCAACCAGCTTGCTTTCCCGAGGCCCCTCGGCTGGAGGAAGCCCTGAGTCAGCAGCAGTTCTCTGGCAGAAACCGGAGAAGCGGCGGGAAACATCCCATATTAGGCAGCAGCTGCTCAGCACAGGGCAAAGCCTGTTCCTCCCCCCCCCCCCAGGAGAGCCGGCGGTGGAGCGTGGAGCCACCGTCATCCAGACATATCTCAGGACACTCGAATCGAGGACAAGTAGTCCTCAACATGTGACAGATTGCTTAGCAGTTGTTCAAAAGCTGCCCAGAGATTATGAGAGGTGGGACAAATAAATTCAGTGAATAGAGTAGAGTAGGAATAGGAGAAAAAGACAGAATACAATAGAATAGAATCTTTATTGAGAGCAGAACAGAATGGAATAACAGAGTTGGAAGGGACTTTGGAGGTCTTCTAGTCCACCCGCCTGCTCAGGCAGGAAACCCCACTAGATCTCTTCTATCCTATCCTATTCCCTTTCTTATTCTATTCTATTCTATTCTATTCTATTCTATTCTATTCTATTCTATTCTATTCTATTCTATTCTATTCTATTC